TTGATATCCTCGTCAGTACCGCCTGTAGTTGAAGCGATGCTTCCCATAACCATAGGTAACACATAGGACAACAATAGTTGTCAGTAGAACGTCCAGAATATGATTCACATAAATTTCTTAGCAAAACAGCATGTTATTTTTTAGAACTAAGTAGGAATTTGTCATGTTAACTAAAACGAAAAACAGTAATAAACATGGAAAAGTTTGGGTTGAAAATGTAAGGAGATTTGCCATGACTGGGTAATGAATCTGCTGTTGCATTGAAACTCGTAATCAAGCTATATCTGGCTAAGTAAGAAATAAAAACTATGCATCATCTCAACATTTTCAACTCTGTTAAGTACCCTGAGTGTTTTGTCTATTTCTTTTCCGCTGAATACATGTACAACTCTATGTAATGAAAAGCCTTTTTATCAAACTACTATGAATCAGTGCAATAAATATTTTGAGACTAACTAGTAGGGAATATGAACCCTCATAATTCCATATCTGTTCGGATGTTAAACCCACTTGGTTCTAGAACGGATATCAAGATGAAACGAAATTTCAGAAAAGCATCATTATTTTACAGAACGATTTGTAAGAAAGTGATTGATTCCAAAATAGGTTTCTTCACAAGCCAACATATTAGCTGTTTAGTCAGCAAAAGATAAAAGACCACTGAATCTAGTGTTAAAACACTGTAAACAGCTTTTCCGATGTCTTTTTATGGGGTTGTTGCTGTCGTGGCTGACAGAAGGGATATTTAAAAGTCAGGGTATAACAAAAGCTTCGAAAGTGAACCATCAAGTTCATAAAAAGCAACACCTGATATTGCTACACCTCATTTTTTTCAGATTTGAGGAAATACTTGTCAGCTGGGAAACAATAAGGATATTCTACAAAATGAATTACCTCTCACACTGTTTAGACTGTCAACCAGGAAACATGTCAATGTAAAGTGTCGTATTCAGCACATTCTCTCACATAAGAAAATAAATTAGTACATTTATGGTTCCTAGAACAAATTTATACACATATAAAACAGTAATTTTGAGGAAGAAAACAGTATAACTGAGGAGTCAAACCTGCTGTTAATACATAGTAGAGTACAAATTCTAAATTATCGGACTAGTATGTATAAAAATATACGTTACAAATGCATATATATATGTATAATATTCCTATCTACAGAACTTCTGATAGTTTTAAATTAGCAGTTTTAAGTCCGTATGGAAACAGCCACAGGAATCACTAAAGTATCCTTGAAACTAAACTGCTAATTGTATCCCCAGTATGCATAATTTTAGGATTTTAAACACCCATTTAAAGTATCTCAGTTAAACAACCGTCTTTAAGGAAACTAACAATTTTAGGTCAGTAAGTCTAGTTATTTTTCAATGTGTATTTGTACACATTTTGGAAGCATCAGTACTAATTTGAAATTGTTTGATGTAAAATTACATAAGACTGATAAACTTTAACTTATCAAGTAACTTTGAAACTGCAAATGATAATTAACTCGAGATGAAATGTTTCTCACTATACATAATCATAAATTATTCAAACATTTTAGAATAAGCGTCAAGTTCACTTGTCTTTAAAACCCTTTACTTTTCAAAGAAATCTTGTTTTCTCCAGTTCATATATTTATTACCAAGGAAGACAAAACTTTTAGAAGAACTACATTAAAACTAGAAGAATGCTATTACTCATAAAATTCACACATTTATTTCCCTTTATAAGTATGAATAAAGCAAGAACAAAAAATTGTTCACAATAAAAGGGGAACATCATCTATGTCATCGGCTTCTCATCAGTTGCTTACAGCCCAAAAACATTACTAAGCTTATGTACAGAAACAATTTTAACTTACTTACACAGAGAGTTCATTTTTAAACAAAAAATTGACATATGCATACAATAGTAATAATAATCATTTTATCCCGAACTATAATAATCATACAGATTGGAATTTTTTGGTGTTACATAGTTAAATGAAAGAGAGAATGAAAACATTCAGTTACCAGGGCAGGGGAAGACTGATAACTACTTATTTCTGAACGCATAAATAGGGTTCCAGGCGCTTGATGGAAATCTTTTCGGCAAACTTGAGGCACTATTGAAAGTATTATCTCCCTTGAGATGGAAGCTATTTGGTACATATTCAGAAAATCGGAGGTATACCCTTCTTTCTGTTCTCCCAGTGCAATTGTTCCCATAGATACATGGGAATTTGTATGCACAGTTGGAGTTAACATGAGAAGGGTATCTGTTGAATTGTGATTGCACCAAAGAACATGTTGTCTGACAGACGGGAACCAACTTAACAGCGAGATAAACTCTGGCTATTAACATTCAGAAATAAGTAGTTATCAGTCTTCCCCTGCCCTGGTAACTGAATGTTTTCATTCTCTCTTTCATTTAACTATGTAACACCAAAAAATTCCAATCTGTATGATTATTATAGTTCGGGATAAAATGATTATTATTACTATTGTATGCATATGTCAATTTTTTGTTTAAAAATGAACTCTCTGTGTAAGTAAGTTAAAATTGTTTCTGTACATAAGCTTAGTAATGTTTTTGGGCTGTAAGCAACTGATGAGAAGCCGATGACATAGATGATGTTCCCCTTTTATTGTGAACAATGTTTTGTTCTTGCTTTATACATTCTCATAAAGTCTTTTGAATATCAAACACTATAATGTGAGTTTAGAAAGGAAACAGAAATTCAAAATGTGGTATTTAGTTATCTATTTGGGAAAATGGAGATAGGAGAACAGAATTTGGGTACTGCGAACGAGTACAGTTTCCTAGAAGAATAATTTTATCTGACGTAAGCCAGGGATGCAGCACTGTTTATTTACTGATAAGTGAATAGAGAAAAAACTAGTAGTTATTGTAAATAACTTAATCGCACTGTGTCACTGTATCAAATCAGATAATATTATTCTTTTATGAAATGCTGTATACTGTTTATTAAACATTTTCTCCTTAAGATGAGTGAACTAACTTTTCATACTTATTTCAATCTATAGAAATAACTATGACAGTTTTATCAGAATCTATTTAATCAAAACTATTTAGTCAGAGATGTGGTTCTGTGGGTGTTGTTCACTGTTACTACTGATCCAGAAGTACCATATCACATGGATTTCTTAAGACTTTAAGTTGTAATCGATCATGAATTTAAATTCTTTATCTGATTACAGAAAACACGTAGTTCGAAAAGCCGTCAAAGTAAACATGTAAACATCAAACGCTGAACAACTACTCTAAGAGACGATCCGAAATGAATGATTTTGAGGTGAAGCGTTATAGAGATGTTAGGATGGCAGAGCCAGATATAAGTCTAAATGAAAATGTTAAATTCAACTGGACGTTTTGGATTTCCTGCACTGTGATTTTGCCTAGCCAAAGAACGGCGTTTATGTCACCGAATGAGTCCCTAGTATGAAATCCTCGATGGGATCTTGAGGTGTTATTTGACTGATGGCGGATTTCAGTGGAATTTAGAACTACCGTGTCGCTCATGACCCATCAACTAGATGTACATACATACCAGTGGGTGGTGGTGTTCTTAATAAAACTCGCATTCATTAACTATCATTCTATGCACCGAAAATTCCATTGTATGAAAATGGACACCGCTTGTATGAAAGGCTGCACCCGTAGCTCAGTAGCCAAATTTATAATTCTTACCATCTGAAAATAGGGTTGATGGTTTCCAGAGTCAGTCAAATGCAGGCAGATTTAGCCGACGGATGTCACACAAAAGAAAGGACGCATCCAGGATCCCACTGTTAGTTAATACAAAAATAACAAATTTGTCAGTGAAAGACTAGGATACACTTTTTCACTATAATTAAATCCCATGTAATATTCACAGGTAATATGGTTGAAGAAGACAGTCAGACTTCAACCGAAATGCTTGTCGAAAATCAACAAAGACTTTTGACTGCTGCAAACAGCCAACTTTGAAGTCAGCATTCTATCCCTGGGATAGACGTTTGTCTGGAATTAAATCACACAATAAAACAAGCAGTGTGGTTTTGTAATAGGTTCTGAATTCTCTTTTCACCGAAATAAACCATTATAACTGGTTACAAATCAGAACATTCTTTTCATCAGACAGTATAATGCCATCCAACTGATTACGTTGCACTTTATGCCGCATACCTGTTTACATGTCTGTACAGATAAGCTTATTTAAAGTACGGTAATTGCTTCGTAAAAGTAATAGTGTGGGAAAATGTACCTTCAGGGGACCGAATATGTAAACAAAGAATCTTCAGAATAAAACAGGAAAAGCAATCATTTTATTTATGGAGAGACTGGTGCCCGTATATAAAATTTGTCTGGAGAAAGCAGGAGAGAAATATTGAAATTTGTCAAAATACTAGTGTTCAATGAATTCGATTCTTGATGGTGTTCGAGACGACTTTTACCTCGCTTAGTCTACTTAGTCAACGTATTTCCGATAATAAAACGGAAAACAGCGTAGCAAACTACTCCCTTGATATTAAACGTTAAAATCTGATGCATTCCATTGATTTTAGTTTACGCTTCACATCCTTATCTTCACATTTAATGACTTAATAAGTGATATGCGACATTTTTATATGACACGTGCTTCATGTATATATATATAATGTCATCCAAGCTTAATATGGGAACTGAGCACTTGAAAGTAGCAAGTATTTATAGGTGGTTCTACTTAGCTCAAGTGTAAAGGATTTTAGCACACACATTGTTATAAGCCATTCGCTGACAAGAAATTAAATTTAATAAAGCTTTCAAAACCAAAAGTAATATAACCCAGTGAACTACAGTCACGCAATGTACTGGAATGCAGCAACGACATAAGAAATCCATGCAATGAGTATTTATAATGTTGTGTGATAAAATATAACACAAAGTAACCAGTGAATTTTCGAAAATCCCCTTTATTTAAAAACAATAATTTAGACAGCCAGTTGACGATTAGTGCAAAAATATGATAAAATATAATTACACCATCATTTAGAGTGGCTGATAAAAATAACAGACTTACGAGGTAACTTCTGACAGGCTTCACAACGTCCATCGACAACACACCGCATGGTTTTAAATACTTCATTATATTCACATTTTTGTACTAATAAATCAGGACCTGGATGCTTCAAATGCTTGGCGCACTTCAACACATATTCTGGGAGTTTACTAGTCCATAGGTCGTGTACAACTAAACAGCCTGCATTTGATGGAGCTATCCATGCTTGCTTCTTATCCGCAAACCTAGTCACTCGAAATCTTGACTGAGAAGATAACGCCTTTAGATCCTCTTCCGTCAATTCTACTGTACACTGAGATATGTTTTCATCCTTCATATTTTTCATTACGGACTTGGACAAACGTCCTACAGAGCGTCTTTTTAGATCCGCCTCACCTTTTGTATGCTTGAATCGCTTTTTAGAAGGTTTCTTTAATTTCACTTCCGGAGTGACTGGTGTTAAATTAGAAGGAGAAACTGCTTCTTCACAGCCACAATCTGCAGTTGGTGAGTTTTTATTTTCTGAATTTATTTTTTCATGTCTCACACTCAGTAACACAAATCCGGGTCTCGTATGACCCCGCATATTTTCAACTATAACATTGCCTGGTTCTGGAGGAAATTCCAAGGAGCCTCTCCGCACACATTGATGAATATCTTTTATCGTTAGTGCCTGCGCAGTTGGACCACTTGCATACGAGTCATTAATTGATTGACTAACCGGAGATGTTTCTTCTTGTGGACCATCATGTTGAACAGTATACGGGTATAACACAATAGGCTGACCCGGACATTCTACAGTAACGGAACCTTTTTGGCTAGTATTACTACTGTCATCCCTTGGAGTTATATGTAACGAAAGACCACTTTCTCCTTCGAACTTGGCTTCAACTGGCACTAGAAATGTAGACATATCTGAGTGTTCACTATTTACAGCCCAGTTTTGATTAGGATGCTCATTTAAGCCAAAATTTTGAACATTGCATGGGAGCAGTTCTTGATTTTGAGACTGAATGTTCGACTGGCTTTGCAGTGGAATGGTCTCTTTGACAGTATTATAATGTTCTGATAATTGCAATCCAATCAGCTCTTGAAGCAGCAGCAGATAAAAGTGCCTTTGAGCATTGAAATCCATATCTCCGAGTTGCAGGCTCTGGAGCGGATTTTTAATATTATTAGAGGAGTGCGCTGGTCTCTGCTGAACATTCTGGATGTTTGCTTGAACCACGTCAAAATTATTTATACCGTCTAATGAGTTTGGGAAAATGAATCCATGACAAATGGGATGACTGTAACTTTGTGGAAGTTCATTCTGTGTTTCGCCTGAAATGCTTGCTGGCTGAAATGATAGAGGAACATTTGTAGGATTTACTGGCATGTATATTACTTCATTGGTAGGGTTAATTAGATTTTGTGAACATTCAAGAGGATAGGCGTTAAAAGACGTTTGACGAGTGATATTACTAATTCTTTCTTTATCTGAATTTGTATTTGATCTCTGAGTGTTAAAGTTATTCAAAGAAGAGCCTTGCGAAGAAGCTGTCATCGCAACATCAAGGTGGGATTTAATGACACCTTTTGAATTTGTACGCGATTTATAATTTTTGCGTTTATGTATACAAACACTGAAAATTTTAGCCGCCCTCAAAATTATGAATTCGCTGAGTGCATTTTTGTATACATAGCATCTTTACTAGATTTTTTTGAGGAACAAAACAATTCCGAATGCAGTGATTTGGTACATTAAACTTAGAAAGCTACGAAATTCGGTAAATTTAGCATTGCGTTTAAGACTCTTTCACCAAGTTTCACAGGTGAATCTAGAGGAAATCGACTTACCATTCTCACTATTCGACATGATAGGGCGTCAAGTCACCTTAACATAGATTAATAATAAATGGTTGCACTAAGACTTTGTTTTGGATGGCTTGATCTCTGCTTTTGAAGAGTCTCATTTAACATGTCTGGTCTGAAATCATATGGGCGTCATTTTAACTACTATCCCCTTGAATTAACCTTAAATATCATGTTTAAAATATTGTGCACCGTGTGTGTAAGGACAGGTGATAACTTATCTCCAAAATGTTTGTGAACAGCTTGTACAAATCTACAGATTTCTTGACTGTTGCTTTTCGCTGTTCCAAGACTGTTTCGGATCTTCTGAAGATTCCGACAAGAGTATTCCCTTGACTACTGTTACTCTGTTAAACCGACCGACTGGAGAGTGTTTAATTTACTTCAGCGCGAATATATAGCTAAAGCAAGTGAAATGTAGCTCGTGGGATTAGAAATTCTCGAAAGCACCCCGAAAATCGTGGTGGCTAGAGCACAGTATGGAAATCAATAAAAAATGTAGATCAAACAAACGAAAGATAATACCAGAGACCGACTACCATACAGGTAAAATACCAGATGATAGTGTATGCGGGAAAACATGAATAAGGCCTAAAACAGAATTTGTCCGTATTATCATTATTAATTATTTTTCCCTTGGGTTCCGAGTGGAACATAGGGCTTCAACAACACATCTCCACCTTCTTCTGTTTTCTGCCTTCCTCCTCATCTGGGTCCACGATTGCCTAAAGTCACACCCCCCCTCACACAGTCTCCTCCATATCATCCTCACACCAAGGACCAAATCGTCGCTTCCTATTTGGATTCCGCTACAGCGAGGGCCTGCATTTCGCGCGATGTTATTCGATGGTTTCATCAATGTGTTCCCGATCCACACACTTGTTGAGCGATCAGCTCTTGGTTCGCTTGTTCCTACAGTTTCTTGTTACTAATTCTGTCTGACCACTTGTCCATTTGGTCTTCAGTATGAAGCCAGGGAAGGAAGCTGTTGATGAAAGTCTGCAACATGTTAGATACTTTTCGTGACACACTGGCCAAGTTACTGACCTACATAAAAGAGCTGACCGACTTGACTTGAAAATCCTGAACTTGTTCGTTATCCTGACCAATTTTAGATTTACAGGCTGTTTTAAAGTTGGTGAAGGCGTATCTCGCCTTTCCGATTCTGACTTCGACATCTTCAACCGTTCCACGGGCCTGTAGTTGAAACGATGCTCTTAGATAAGTGAAGGAAGTAGCCTCTGTTATATCTCCTCCGTTGACGGTGATTGGTGCTGTTGATTGGTTATCTTCATCACCTCTGTCTTCTCTGTTCACTTGGAGTCCTGTCTTTGCCGCCCGCTTATTCAACCAATTTGTTGGTTTTCGCCTGCAAGTCTTCGAGTGTATGTGACATTAGACATATATCATCTGCGGAATCCAGATCTTCTGGAGTCTTCTCACCGGTCGTCCAGCGTAATCCTGACTGCTCGCCCTCAACAGTCTGGCGCATAATCCAGTCCACCACAATTAAGAATATCATCGGTGGTAATAGGCAGTCAGCTTGTTTGATTCGTGTATGCACTTCGAACGCCTCGCTAAGTTCTCCGTTTTGGATCACCTGACACGTGGCACTGTCATACAGCCAGCTGGCGAATGAGGTTAACAAAGACTCAGACACTGCATGCCACAGTGTTGAAGTAGTTTCCAAATTACTTCTCGGTAAACGCTGTCCGGAGAAGGCCTTTTAAAAGTCGATGAAGTTGAGGTAGAGGTTTGACTGACATTCTATGCTTTGTTCGGTGATGGTGCGTAAAGTGGCAATTTGATCAGCACATGATTTGCCTTCCCTGAATCCGGCTTGTTCTGGTCGGTGAGGCGGAGTTCTGTATCCAGCGCATCCTTTACTCTCCCCAGGTTGATGCGACTTATTGTTTTCCTTGGCGTGGACAAGAGCATTATTCCGCTCCAGTTCTAGCGCTGGCCTAAGTCTCACTTCTTTTGCATTTTGACGAGGTAGCCCTTCTTCCAGTCAGTAGACACCTGTCCTTCTTTCCAAACTTTTTGCAGTAATGGAAAGAGAACATCTGCTGTGATCTCTGAGGCCATCTTCAGTGCTTCGGGAGGGATGCCGTCTGATCTTGCTGCCTTCCAGGACTCCATTAACTTGATAGCATTCAGGATATCTGCTTTCTTTGAAGGAGTGCTGTCCACTGGCATTTACGTGTGTTCTGCTGTTGGTATTTCTGAGTGAGTTGCCAGTGGTTGTCGATTCAAGAGTCCTTTAATGTGATCAGCCGACTGTTTGATTTGTTTCTCCTGCTTGGTGATCAGGTTTCCTTGGACATCTTTTATTGGTTTCATCATCTGGGTTGATTTCTTCCCGGATAGAGATTTGGTTATCTGATATAATGTACTGATGTCTCGTTTGCCTGGGGCCCACCTGGTCTGCTTCAGTTGTCAGTGTGTCGTAGAATTGCCATCTTGTAGTGACCCATTTTATTACTCATCATCGTACTATACTTTCATTGTGTAATTGTACTTTGATTTGTTTATTACTCTAAATCTTGCATGTTAACAATTGATACATTTGTACTCACTCAACTTTTGAATTTTGATTACGGCGAGAATACACATTCCTACACCTTCTCAAGTGTCCCCTGATTTACGTTGTGTGTGTCGAGTAAGCACAACGTTAGGACACAATTATAAACGAGAATTACTAGGATATATGTATACGCTAGTTTAATCAAAATATAGCAGCACAACAATCTGTCTTTTCTAGCACTCTTCTTTACTTCTTTCTTGATTCAGTGCAGTGTACAATGAACTCAGTCTCTCCTTCTGTTGTTCACTTTTGCATTGAGTAGTCATATTCTCTTTCACCATCCTCTTCTCCTCATTAGCTTCCAGTTAGGTGTCTGTTGACAGCCGTTCCTTGTCTTGTCTCTTCTGAGAACAGTTGTACACGTTTCCTTAAATATCGCTTTCAGAGAGTTCCTATGTTCTTCCACACATGATTGCTCAGTGATGCCACGTAGTGTGTCTGACTTTGCTCTGATCTGGTCTGCAGCGAAGGCATCCCTTGTAGTTTTGTCCTTCAGTCTAGTTTCCGAATGTTGAACTTGAATTGTGGTCTGCCTCCATTTGTTTTCATGTATTTAAACTTCACCTTGAAGGTTCCTTGAACTAGATGATGGTCTAAGCCCACATCTGCTCCCTTTCTCGACATTGTATACAGCAGGCTGCGTCTCCACTTCCTTGAGCAGCATTAAAATGGAGTCTGTCTGGTTTGTGTTGTGTCCATCAGGCGAAATCCATGTTGCTTTGTGTATATCCTTGTGTTTGTACATGCTCCCTCAAATCACCAAATAGTTGAAAGAGCAGAATAATTCTCCGTTCTCATTCGTTTCGCCGAGTAAGAGCCTCTCAACCCATGATGAGTTGTCTTCCTGTACTATCGACTTACAGATCGGCTGCCATTCATATTGCCCATTAGGATTTTGATGTCACCACTTGGGATCTAATCTTTTACTGTTCGTAGTTGTCCGTAAATATCCTTTTTCTTTTCTTGTTCTGCGTTGTTTGTAGCGTGGCGCGCAGCACTGGACAATTCTTACCTTCCTTCCTTTAGAGTTGAATTTTGTTGTCATGATCCTGGATGAAATTGGTTCCCACCACACTAGGGCTTTGACTGTCATTGGTGACAACATGATAGCCATTCACTGCTTCAGCGTGATGTTGGTTGTCGTCTGGGTGACCGGAGTAGATTACTGACAGCCCATCTGGCAATTTTGATAGTCCACATCCATTCCATCTGATTTCGCAGATACCAAATACTTCTAAGCCATTTATTCGCATCTCTTCAGTTACCTGGTCAGCCTTCCTAGTCTCATACACTGCATGGACATTGCACGTCCCCATTCTTACTGTTGCTTTCATCGAGAGAAGACACACCGGCTGGCTGGCTTCCCGAAACCTGGCTTTCACCAATCCAATATGCATGTCGCCTCTCCAATTCGAGCGAAGAATGCGATTTTTGTTTGAAGTTTTTTATATTTTTAATATATTTTCTGTGTGTTGAAGTTTCTCTAGTGGTTTGAAAGACTTAGTATTGTGGGACTGCTATCCCCACTCCCAACCCTCCCTCTTTACCCGGTCTTGGGACCGGCTAGAAAACCAGCGAGCTAGTTAACTAGTATGTACTCAATATTGAGTAGGTTGTAGAATTTGAATCGTACTAACGGGATTTGTTGATTGATATAATTCCTCGCCACTGTGGGTAGGTTATCACTGAATTCTTTCCCAACGTAGAATCCTTCCATGTGATATTGTCGTAAGTTTCGGCCTCGTTTTCTCATGTGTCATTCGTATGTTTGTTTTGTTTTCCTCTTTGTATCAGGTTGACGTTATACGAACAAATCTTATATGGTTTAACGGCTTTTGTCATGACTGCTGCTATTTTATCTGAAATTATAAATAGGTGCAAAACGAAAAACCAGGTGTAGTCTTTAAACTCATGCATCAAACAGGCCCATGATTTTTGAAGCTCTTACATGGGAATGGGCACCACTATCGCTTCCTAAGTCTTTTAACTTATCACATAGTATCCTTTCAAATGAGGCCAGTGTGTTTGTTAGATGTATTTCCGTAGGTAGTTTGCTCCATATTTGGGCATATCTAATCAAAAACAACTTTTTCCTTGTGGCTATTTACACTGTTCTGTAGCCACTGTTTCTTTGGCGTGTCT